AAGGAGATGATGCGAGTGAAGGAGATGATATGAGTGAAGGAGATGATATGAGAGAAGATACCGGGGGTTTCAGCGCTGCTGTGGTCCCAGAGGTCAGAGGTCAGCGAGCTGACGGACTGCTGGGAGAGCGGCCGACGCTCGACCCGCTCTGACAGGAGGGCGCCACCAGGGGGCAGCGCAGGAGAGGAAGAGGAAGAGGAAGAGGAAGAACAATAAATAATAATCTAATAAGAACAAACAAAGATACATAAAACATGTTTAAAGGCTTGGGATGTTTTTTTCTTATTGTCAACAAATCACCATGAGTACAAAACGTGTTCGTGCGTCTCTCAATAATGTCTGACTTCCTGTTTGTGGCTGTCAGCTACAAGCCCATTGGTTCCTACTGGATCTTTAAAAACACAAACATATATAGCTTGAATTTTGATCAAACAAACAGGAGGAAGCAGTGCGTATTCATCATATTGGTTTGAATCTTTTCTTGGGATTCGTTGACAATAAGACAATATCTCCATCTGTAAAGTAAACACTGTGAATAAACAGAAGGCCGGTGTGGTTCAGTTTATTTTCCGTGACTCAGGTGAAGTACCAGACATCCTGCGGAGGCTCTTGGACTGGATGTCGTCCTCCAGAGGGTCACAGTCAAAGATGGAGCCCGGGTCGGTCCTCCACACCTTCAGGTCTTCAGACGGGAGGGAAAGTGTTTACATGGACTCAATGAAAAGAACTACAACACTCTCAGAGGAGGGAGATTTCAGCTCTAATAAAAGAAGATAATCATTAAAGGAAAATAAAAGCCTGCATGTGTCCACGTGGGCTGAAAAGAGTCAAGTTAAAACAAATATTACATCAAATTATTAAAACAACCTGGGAACCCAGAGGAGAAGAGTTTGTGTTCTTTAAAAGAGAAAGTTGTTCTCCAGCGACGCAGCAAACAAACACATAAAGAACCACAATAAAACAAACTGAAGACATCAAATGCATCACGGCTTTTATTGTGAAACTTTATGCTTTTATTGTGAAACAGTATGCTTTTATTGTGAAACAGTACTGTACGTAAACAAGGCGAGCTCACTGACCTACGATGATGCCTCCAGGTCGTCTGTCCATCTCCTGTGGGTGGATCCCTTTGCCGTATCCCGCCTCTCCCATCATCTGATTGGCTCTCTGGTAGCGCTCCATGCTGGGCTCGTCCAATCCCGGCGTGCAGCCTCGGCCGCGCGCCCGCTCGAAGTCCTCGTGGTACTTGGCCTGTTGGTAAAAAACCATAGCGTCATGGAGTCGTCATAGAAATATAAAGGGTTGGCACACACACACATTAGTGTTAGAAATCACACACACACACACACACACACACACACAGGGTGCATTTGGTCAGTGAGCAAATAAAACACACACACAGGGAATGTTTTTGAAAAATCTTTTACTATTATTTACACCCTTACTGAGCGCTAACACTCTGGAGGTCTTGGACCTGAGACCTGGTCCTGTGTCTGGATTCAGGTCTACCTGAGGACCTCCAGTAACACACGCACAAACACACACACAAAAACACGGTGCTCTGTCCTCCATGCTCCCTGGTGGTTTCGGGCGTTAGTAGCGGTGCCTCAGCCCCACCCGCGGTGCCACGTCATTCGTGTTAGCTCCTCCCACCAGGCCGCTACCATTGAGACGGAATCCTGTGACCTCCTGACACGCCTGTACTCAGGTGTGTCCAGCTCGGTGCAGCTGTGGCCCTTCATCTGCTGCAGGTCGCGCTGGTACTTCACCTGTTTACACACACATGATGTAACATATGACATCACTCTGAGAAGTTGTGCACGCATGTGTGTGTGTGTGTGTGTGTGCGCGCGTCTTGCCGAGCTGATGTTCTCCTGGTTCTGTCGGACTCTCTCCAGTTCTGGAGTCACTCCGACACTGGAGGCCTTCACCGAACTCTGCTTGTACTTCACCTGGTGGGAAGATATGAAGAGCTCTTTAGTTAGTGTGTGCGTGTGTGCGTGTGTGTGTGTGTGTGTG